GTTCCGGTTTCCATCAGCAGCCAAACCGGTTGTGTGGAACAGGATTTCTACTACGACTGTGGCCTGTACTCACATTTGCAGGGTAACCTGACTGTGTGTGACTGCTGCGAATCCTATCTCTTGACAAAGCCAGTGTCGTGCAAACACTTGATAAAGTCACACAGCTGCCCTGCACTGGCAGTGGGTTCTTGCCAAAGACCAGACGGCTATTGGTCCGACTGTGGCACGCAGTCAGCCCACTCTGATTATGCAGATGAAGAAGATTCCTTTGTCTCGGACAGTTCGGACCAGGTGCAGGCCTGTGGACGAGCCTGCTTCTATCAGAGTCGAGGATTCCCTCTGGTGCGCTACGCTTACAATCTACCGAGAGTTAAAGACTGAGTTAATGTGTGTGTGACTGTGTTCCCCCATCCACCAAAATCACAGTGTTTATAGAGTAAACCCTAGTTTGATCTTTCATCTGGGAAGCACTTCTGTGATCACTGCCAGGTGTCCCTTAGAAGGAGGAGAAGGTGGCAGGAAGGTGGCAGTTTATTTCTTAAACCAGACATTTTCAAAGAACAAGTGCCTAGACTATTAATCAGTGAAAACTTCAGTGTCCAAGCAATGTGTGGTCTATTTGGAACAAATCTGTACTTGACAAGGTTTTGTGGATATCCTAACATTATAGCATTAGGGTTTGTGGATCCATAAGAAGCAAAATTTTACCTGTTTCTGAATTAAGCACAAGGCAAAGAACAGCTGTTAATATTTTTTTAAGAATATTGTGAAATGTGACTTCACACAACAAAAGAAGAAGTCTTGCTAATTTCACCTAATGTTTGATCATTAATCTCAGGACAACTTACTTCAGGGCCAAAAAAGGGATCGTCTCCCAGATGGGATTTTGAGAGGCACTAGGTTACTGCATTTTCTTTTTCCATCTTTGACATAATAGAATCATACACTTTTTCTTGAAGTGATTTGTAAATCTTAAAACCTGAAGATGTTTTTAAAACAATATTAACAACTGTTAGATTTAAAAAGAATATCCAAACATTTGTTTTGAGTCATTTTACAATGCTTTGGTGAGATCAGTCAGTTTTTCCCTCAGTGTTTTGTAATCACACTGCTAGAAAAAGTAAAGGGCCAATTGCTGTGTGGGTTTAGTAGGTTTGGCTAAACTACTAACTAAACTGGATTTTCATGTCTGAGGGATTCGATGACTCTGTGTAATGGCCCCGTTAATAAACGCTTCCTAATATCATTGGCTTTACTGATATTTTCCAGTTTTGTTGGTATGTTATCTACTTATAGTTTGAATTATCCAGAAGGTAAACTGTAGTAAGTAGTTTCATTTAATTGGAAGAAATTGGGAATGATTATGACACAAAGCACTTCTTAGGAAGCTGGATTCTCCAGAACTTACTATGCTATTTCATAGAAGTTTCCAAACATTTACCCCCTACTGTAATTTTCAAAAGAGACTGCCCACCAATAGTTCAGATACTGTGTTTTTGTGAAATAAGACAAATGTGTCATTAAAAAAAAGAAAGAAAGAAAACAGTAATAAAGCTTAGGCCTTTGTCTTTAAAAATGAAAAATTTTACTTGATATTCATCTATGGACTTTTGACACGTCACTATGTGGGGTCTTAAAGTTATAAATGTTCAATATGTTTTTGAACAATATGCTCAATCTGTCGCAGGCCCACAGCCATATTAGTTATTCAGGACATACTAAAAACATTAAGCTAGGTTGCAGTTTAATAATTAAACTGTATATACTGTGCATATAATAAATTTTTATCTTATGTAAATTATTTTTAGAACATAAGTTGGGAAATGTGGCTTCTGTTCATTGCGTTTAATTAAAGCTACCTCCTAAACTATAGTGGCTGCCAGTAGCAGAATGTTAAATTGTGGTTTATATACTTTTTTTGCATTGTAAATAGTCTTGGTTGTACATTGTCAGTGTAATAAAAACAGAATCTTTGTATATCAAAATCATGTAATTTGTATAAAACGTGGGAGGGAAATATTTACAGTGTGTTGTAATTTTGTAAGGCCAACTATTCACAAGTTTTTAAAATTGCTATCATGTTTGTATATTTACACATTGAGAAATATTAAATCATAACTTGGTAAAAAATATCTTAGCTAAGTTTTTTTTTCTTCAAAATTCACATTACTGAACACTTTCTTTGTATTCATTTAAAAAATGGAATAGCAGAAATGTTAAATACGTAGTGAATTGTGCTATACATGTGGTCAAAATGTAATATTATATACAGTGTTATGAATTATCAGGTGTTTTCAGAAAGCAGTCCTCTTTGCCTTAACAGATTAAGTAGGTATACTGAATTTGCTTAGTGTTAAAGTGAGTAAAGTGAAACAGTTAATTCTTAAGTAAAGAGAAACAGTTAATTCTTAAGTAAAGAGTGTTAGAAGAAATGTTAAAAGAATACTCTGCTAAAATTTAGATGATTTTATTATAAGCCTGAACCATATTCAGGGAAAACAAATGGAAATTTAAGAGAATACCATCAGTTAGATTTTTATTGAAGAGCAAATTATCAAAAACTTGCATGATACTAATTGCCCAAATTCTTGGGAATAACTCAGTGTTTACAGTCAATTAGCCCTTGTGTTACAAATGAGGAAACTGAGGGCTTAATGAAATATAAGTGAATATCTGAGTCACCCAGCAAATTGGAACCCAGTTCCTCTGAAATTGAGACATAGTTTTTGTTGATGTTGTTTTAAACTAGTATAGGTTTGGAATTCCCTTAACAAAAAGTAGAATAGTATAATTACCCCTCTTCTCATTCCCTCAGCACTCACTCTTCACCTCCACTACCCATTGCCCACCCAGCTTTGGCAGTTATCAACCCAGGGTAAATTTTGTTTCGTTTTCATCCCATTCACTAACCCTTTTGGATCCCTTTGCTTTTAAAACAAATCTAAGACCTCATATTGTTTCACCTGTAAATATTTCAGTATGTCTAGGGATAAATTTTTAAATTTACATAATATATTGCCATGGGGCTAAATGGTAATCATGTTATATTTGTAGCAAAGAGATTTTCAAGCAAAGGTCACTGCATTTACAGGTTACAAAGCCAGCAAAAGTACACAATAAATCAACTATACCAAGAAATTCAGAATAAAGTAGTAAGAAGCAAAGATATACTAAGTCAATGCCCTAACACATAAAGGAAGAGGCCCTCTTTTCAGCTTATTTATACATTTATATATAATCCTGCCGAACTTGATTATGGCTTCTCAGTCCCAGTAATGAAAAGGCACTGTAAGAGGAGACCACAGGGCTTGATTATGTCCAAGCACCAGTGCCATGGGGCTCTTTGCCTCATCGCTCCAGCATTGCCATAGTTGGTCATTGTGATGACTCTAAGGCATCAGGGCAAAGGGCATAATTTGTTGTGTAAAACCTTTTACGGAGGCAAAGAAGTATATGGCACTTTAGATCTCCATACCAAGAAGTTAAAGTGGAAAAATCTTGGAGTTTCAGTGTTATACTTTACCATCTACCATTTTCTCTGTCAGTTCCTATGCTAGAAGCTTTGAGAATTAATAAAATTTGACTGGGAGGTAGATTACCTCCCTATTACACAGAGGAGTAAGGCCTTGGGAAGGCCACAAGGCCTGTTTAAGGAAAGCTAGTAAAGGGAAACCACTGACTCACACCCAGATCCCTTTCGCACTAAAACCTGTGTTTTTTCCCCCACTATGCTTCAGTTATGTCAGATTATGTCTGTTAGGAATAGCTTTTGGAGTTTACCTCCTTCTGACACTTTAAAGTGGCCCAGGGCCTTTTTATACTGTTATTACTGATTCCAGAGATGTCCTCATAAAAGGTTTTGAACAAATATTCTGCTATTGAATAATGGGTAGAGAATGAAAGCTCCATGAAGCAAGTTTAATTCCTTGAGCAGTTTTATTAGTTATTCAAGTTGCTCCTCTTCCATTTTCATTGGTTTTACGGAAAATTTAAGCAAATTTAGCATTCAATAGTTTAATCATGTTATATTTTATTAATTATAGCTTCTGCCTTCTAAATTGCTCCAGGTTGCTATTATTCCTACCACATTTAATTCTCCTTTGTCAAATGTTGCAGATCTAAATTTCATCCGAAGATCTTGTGTCACTCTTTGGTTAGTAACAAATTTTGTGTGCTGTTTTAGTTTTCACTTTGTGATATTTCTGGAGCAATTATGCGTTATGGACAAAAGCCATATTTATTTGTCAGCTTGAAGTAAGCATCCAGTTTTATTGTCTATCACCTCTCCTTTGTCATCATGTCATCCCCAATCTCTCAGAGAGTGCTCTTTCTGATGTCCCACATTTTTTCCTCATTAAATGCATATCACAGAATACTTCAGTGGTATGATTTTTCACTCTAAGAAAATGAGAAACGTGGAAGTTCAGGGTTTTTATTTTACTCAACTATATCCAGTACCCAAAATTCACATGCATAGACAGTTAAAGGAGGTGCTAACCAAAAAGTGAAAAATTATCCTAAAGGAATATTCTTGAACGGGCTTGTACACTTGGATAAAGTTCACCTCCCTCCCATCAAAAAAATTCAGCTGTGTATTGAAAGAAATCATGACTGATGCTTATACTCTTGACCTTGTAATGATACAGGGTAGTATTAGCATATGCCTCTTTCCCTTTAAAACTATCTGCCTTCTTCAGTGACAGCATATTTCATGTCACAAGTGACCTGCAACACCACAACAAACAAGCAACAGGCCTTTAAAGTTGTCAGCGCGGAGCGGGACCTGGCCTGCGAGCTAGACGAAGCGCACAGTTAAACTCCGCGGCTGGCGGGGTGGTGTAAGGGATATCTTACTAGAAAGGCCGACGCGCAGGGAGCCACGCCCAGCAAGCCTGGACAAAGCCTTCCTTGAGTCCACGCGTCGCCAAGGCAACGCACAGTCTGTCCCCGCTCTGATAGGCCAGGCTCGGAGCGCGCGGGGCTTGCTGGGAGTGCACGTCCCCGCCGCTGCTCCGCCGGTTTGAACTTGGCGGTCCTGATGTGGGCGGCGGGGCGCTGGGGGGCTGCTTCGCCCTTTTTTGATACTCGGTTCCCGGCTGGCTGCAGGGCCAGGTCTCGGCCTTCCTCTGGCTCCTTCTCCACCTTCATGGCGGACGCCCGAGGGCAGGGGCTGGAAACGTTGGTGGTGAGCTCTCCATCTCCGCCGCTGAGCTGCAGCAATTCCACCAGGTCGCTGTTGTCTCCCCTCCGCCACCAGAGCTTCCAGTTTGACGACGACGATGGGGACGCAGAAGATGAAGAAGTGAACGGTGATGCTCACGACTCAGAGGCCGAGGGGGCGAGCCTGGGAGGAGTGAAGTTACAGGGGTGCGCCAGGTAAACACGAGGCTGCCCGGCCCGTACACAAGCTTTCAGGATTCCTTAGACCCTTCTAGTACCTCCCGCCAAACACCACCCTCCTGCCTTCTGCCCCGAGGGCTGTGCACGGACCTGCCTTTTGAGGTGGTGCTCCTCTTTGCGCAGAGAGAACCCTAGGCCAATTCTTATAAATAACCTGACTTTTTTCTTAATATTTCTTAATCCTTTTTCAAGCTGAGAATACGTTGATTGCTACAGTCTCGCTCCCCAGGAAAACTTACATAGTCTCAAACATACAAAATGTTGCTACCATCTCAGGGGGCTTATGAATACTCAAAAGTCTAACTTTGGGCACCAGAACTCTTGTCCAAACCCTTAACACCAAAATGTGGTCTGCTGCACCTAGTAGTAGCTGTAGTTGTTTTGAAAAAAAAAATCTCATTGCCAGTGAAGTAGATTGTTATAAGCACTATACTTTTTATGTCACAAAAAGGGAAGTGAAGTGGAGTTTACCAGTGTCAACCTCAGCATCTGTAGACAGCACTGGGTTTTATCTGGGCACTTAACAGTGGGATAGAAGTCACTGAATCACAGAATGTCAGGACCAAAGAGATTACTAAAACCCTGGTAATTTGTTTATTTCTACAGTTATTCATTAGGCGAACATTTAGTTTGTGTCACATATCAATCTACATATTGGGGACTATAAACATGTTCTCTCATGGAATTAAAGCCTAGATCAAGTCACTCATTGTGCAGATGATAAAACTTTGGCTCAGAGTACAAATAAAAAGTCTGATTCAAAAGCATATACCCAGTTATTAGCGGAGCTGGGCAGTACCAAGCTATACCTTCTGCATTCTCTTTTCCCTATACTAGATGTCTGTTAGTGGACACTAGATGCCTATTAGTATGCAAATAGGAGCAAAGGGCCCATCCATGCAGGAATATATTTTTCTGAGACAGGCATAGTAATGCAGCTCCACTTTGGGGTAGGCTTATTTTGTCATCTTCAGAAAACATTTACAAGTTTCTGATTGTCCATCTGTGGGAGGCATAGTACAGGAGATCTAAGAAATACAGACCAGAGGACCCATGCTTTATGTGTAAGCAGTAAGATGGCCCCCCTCATGTAAGGCATTCATATCAGTGAGTGAATAGAATACAGAACCATATGAAGTGACTCACACAGTAACAACAGCGAGACTCTTAAGAATAAGAAGTAAAAGTAAATACTTTGGTAAGAATGGAGATCAGTAAGCATAATCATTAAGCTGCTTGTCAATACTGGTTGTGGCAACAAAAAACAGGCCTTTGATCAACCTGATAATAGATAGAATGGTAATGGTAGAATTAGACTTTCAGGAGTCTTTTTATGCAGGCCTTTGTGGGGATTCTTCTGGACTGAGTTGGCTCCAAAAACTTTTTAAAAATTGTTTTTTATTCCTACCCTAGGACATTTTTTTTATTGACTTTAGAGAGGGAAGAAGGGAGACAGAGAGAAACATCAATGTGAGAGAAGCATCTGTTGGTTGCCTTCTGGTATGTGCCTCAACTGGGGAACCTGCAGCCTGTGTATGTGCCCTGACTGGGAAGCAAATCTGCTGCCATTTGGTTTACAGGAAGATGTTCCAACCAACTGAGCCACACCAGCCAGGGCAGCGTCAAAGATTTTATACATTTTAAGGCTTTGGAAAGTACTTTCTGAGTCTAATCAACAAGACAATGTAGACAGTTTAGCAGCCTAAGGAATGCTGGCCATCAAAACCACAGCTCAGCTACTGAAACCTTTCTTTCATTGGCTTCCAAGAACCAAAGCCCTGACCAGATGGAGCTTAGCAGAGGAGCTGGACAGATTTCTGTCCTCACTTAGCCAAAGCCCGAATGAGCTGGTGGCATTATAGGGCTAAGGCTGCTTCCCTTATCATAGCTCACTCCCTGTGAGTCAAAGGAATAGGTGGGATGTGGTCTGGGGAGAATGTAGGCATTGTCAGGCCTTGTGTATGGCACGTGTGTCATGCTCAGTGCTTAATAAATGGGTGCTGACTGAATGCTTATTTCCCACTTCCCGGGGACCAGATAGGTGCAGTGATTATTTTCAGACACGTCAGACAGTCTTAACACTTCTTTTCTGGAAAGATAAGTTATTTTAAAACAACTTTCTCATTTCTTCTCCCTCCTCCTAACCTTACGTTGGTGTCCTGGACAGTGTGGGGGTGATGGGATGAGGAAAGCAGGAGGTATGAGTCCATAGTCCAACCGTAGTTCTGGGTAATAAACATCTTCTTTATTAGGACAAGGGAGTAAACATATTGCTGCCTGGAACTTTATGCCTTTTTTTCCATCCTTCATCTGTCACGGGGATCTGACTGTGGCAGTACTTATAGGGTAACCCTTTTTTGAGCCAGACTCAGGCATCAGCTGCGCATGATGGATATGAACTCAAGGAATTTTAGGTGTGAATATTGCCATAGTTAGAGGATGTATTGACTGTGGACTGAGGTGAAGCCCACAATTGACCTCAGTCAAGATAATTGAAAGTATTTTTCTAGAGTCTTTTATAATATGCTTTGGCCCTGTTGTTTATTGAGACTTATCATGGTTTTTATATCACTCTATCTATTAGGAAACCTGTGTTTTAATAGATGTTTTAGTCATAAACAGCTGCTTGTCAAGCCTCTCTTGATTATGGGGAGAGCTTTAGTATATATGCCAAGCATTCTGAACACATGTGTTTAAAATGTTAAGGCAAGAAATCTAATATTGAAAGTGTCACTTTCTAAAACACTGATCCTCTTTAATTTCATCTCTCAGCAAGCATTTCTTAGGAGCTTACTGTATGCTAGGCCCTAAGAGAGACTCTTGAAATAAAGAAATAAAGAAAAAGTTGAGACATGTGAGGAATTCATGGCCTATGGCAGAGATGGACAAGTGACAGAAAGCCCCAGGTGCTTAGTCCAGATTTTTTGCAGAGTTTCACCAGGAGGCAATAAAAATAATGCCTGAGTTGAGTCTTGAAGGGAGACTGGAATTGTCCACACTTCTATTCTCGCCTCTACTACTACATGTCGTGCACCAAATGTTTCCTGAGGGCTCAGAACTGTACCGAGTGCTTTAGCATGGACTGTCTCATCCAGTAGTAACTGAGGTAGCCACTGCTCTTGTCTCCATTTTACAGATGAGAAATGGAGGCTTAAAGAGATTTAAAAATGTACACCAGGAAGAAGCAGGTAGAGATCTATCCTAAATGTTTTACTCCCATATGTGACCTTTTACTCTAGCTGTGTGGAGGTGGAGGAAAGGAATTACAGGGTTTTAGGCAAAGCTGCGGAGCACAAGGGCACGTTCATCGGTCTGCTTAAGTTCAAACGAAACATTTCAGACTGAAATGTAGAGTCTGGATCAGCCTTTGGAGAAAGAAGAGGTTAGGAGATGGGCAGGGGCCAGTTCACAGGTGTCAGGAGTTTGGACTGCATCTTTTGGGCAGAGGAGCCACTGAAGAACTTTGAGATGGGGAATGACACAGTAGAGGGATGCATTTGAAGGGCGAATCTGGCAACAGTGTGAATGATTGGAAATGGAGGGAGAGAGGCCAGTTATGATCAGACAGTGGTTGTAAGGTTGGAAGAGAGGAGAGTGGATTGAGAAAACGGAAAGAAGTTTAATAGACATGACTGGTAATTGCACACATGTGGGAAATAGAGGGGATCAGATGTGGATGGGGGGGCAGGAGGAGTCAGAGTTCTGGGTTCCTGGCTTGGCTGCCTGGGTAGGTGGTGGTACCCTTCACTACGGCAGGATTGTAAGAAGAAGAGTACATTTTTTCTTGGTGGGGAGGGAGGGTAGTGGGTGCAGGGTGGAAGATTAGACTTGTTTTGGATTGATTGAGTTTGGTGTTTCAGTTGGTTGGAAATAAAGACCTGGAGCTTAGGAGAAAGATTTGGTCTGGAATGACTGATCCGCACATCATCAGCATGTAGTGAATAGTTGAAACTGTGGGAGCAAATGAGGGTATTATTCGACAAGACCGAGAATGAAAGATACATATAAGAAATGAACACATCCAGTATCTCTTCTCCACTAGACTAATAATTCCAGTGGGCCGTGGTTGGGTTGTGAAGTAGCAGCAGAACAAGACAGGTAAGCTGAAGCTATGAAGCAGAAAACGGAGTGTGTTGCCGTGGGTTAGGCAGTTGGTTGCCTGAAGTAGGAATGAAGAGGAACTAAACTTATATAATGTATTGAGTTGGCCAAAAAATCTGTTTTTTTTTTCCATAGAATAAAAGATGCACTCTTTCATTTTCACCAATAACTTTATTGATTTGGCTATTTTGAGTATGTCCGCTATCTCCTGCAACGTACAATGGTTGATTGTTTCCAGTTAATATCTCGATTTGATCTCTGTCAGCTTCCAACTGTTCTGACTGACTGGAGGACCACCCAGTGAGAGATCTCCAGCATGAAACTTCGCAAACCACTTTGGACATGTTTGATCAGGCACAGCACCTTTTTCATACACTGCACAAATGTGCCTTTTTGCATTTCATTCGCAGTTTTTGCCTGTCTAGGAACAACACAGCAGGATATGCCAAAAAGGTTGCATGTTTTTTTCCATCGTGAATATTAAAATGGCTACACAAAAATTCACCAATTTTGATAAGTTGTTTTTTTAAATGCACGCTAATGTGACAGCTGGCACAATACAGTCTAACAAAATTGTTCCAGATGAAGTCGAAGACCACCAAGTGCTGCTAGAGCCATCACATGGAAAGAACCAGATGAACTTTCGGCCAACCCTGTAGTGCGGAGAGCTGCCTTGGGTTCTGAACAGCCTTTCTTTCTATGGGTGCTGATCAGCTTTTCCTGTTTAAGAAGTTGTATATCTGGCCAGACCCCTGGGTTCTTCATTTACTGATGTATATTTCCCTTCCCCTCTGCTGTGTAGCCTGAGTGAGTAGATAGTCTGTCCCTAGACCCAGAAAAGACGGGCTGGAGAGAGGTACATCGTGGAGACGGTGAGCACGGGAGGAGGAGAGCAAACTGTGGAGAGTCCTGCACAGTCTGTCTGGGAGCTGGCAGAAGGGAGTCACCCAAAATGTTGAAGAGGTCAACGGCCATGATTTCAAAAACCATTTTAAAGTTAGAGAAAAATGGAGCGTTTAAAGAATTTTTGTTCGCTCTTCACCCAGAATCCCTGATTGTGAACTCATTTGTTTTACATATGCACAAACATACTCTGTATATAGACATACATATTCTTCCTCCTAAACTGCTGAAGGGAGGAGAAGGGAAAAGTCTGCTGTTGTAGGATCCGATTAGGGTTATGCATGGTAATTAGTTGTCCTGATATAAGATTTTTAAGAATAAAAATTCTTAAGTCCAGTTGTCATTGAGGCAAATGGCCTGGGTGTGTGTCATCCCCGAAGGTTTTTAAAATCACGTAATTTTGGAAGAAAAGGCCTTCAAAGGTAGTTTGGTGGATAAACTTTAATTCAAATATTGGGGTTCCTTTTTGTGGTTTTTCAAAGGTATATTTGTATGTAATATATATTTGCTTATTAAAAAAATCACAGTATTGTGATGTATTATTAAACTCTGCTTTTACTCTGTAGCTGAGTGATTTTGACTGTTAAACGTAAGAGTGGGAGTGCTGCAGTGTCCTCTCTTTTGCAACAGTGTGGCCGAATCCAAAGATAACGGAGAAGAAGAGCAACAGGTGCGCCCACCAGAAAGCAGCCTGACCCCATGGGAAATGTGGTTTGTTGGCAAAGAAAAAGAAGAACGTGGCCGTCTGCACCAGAAAGCTCTGGAGGTGAAACTAGACAGTATTCTTCTTATTTAATCCCTGAGCTCACAAAGCAGAGCTGCTGTCGCAACTAAAATGTTACTATTATCCCTCAAAACAAAGTTTTTGCCTTTGTTTGTGTCAGTAATTCTTATTGGAGAAATAGTACATGGTCATCATAAGAACATTTGGGAAATACAACCCAGCATAATTAAGAAAATTAAAATCTCCTCTAATCTCACTACCCTAAGGTAACTACTGCTAACATTAAGGTGTATAGCCTTCCAGATTTTCTTTCATATAAATTAAAAAAAGAAATATGTGCAAGTATGTGTGTGCGTGTGTATGTGTATACATACATACACCCCAGAGCTTCACTGTATGTGCATTTAAATAAAGCAAATTCAACTGCATGCACTTGGTAAGATTGTCAAGAAAGGAGAGAAACAAAAGTTGAAATAGAGGTAGTCATCTACCCACGTGTTTCTCGGAGCCTGCGCCCCACGGTGGGTTTGTGCTGGGGGTCCATAACCTGCCAGGTCTTCAGGGTTTTCCACTTCCTCTGTGCTTCCCTGCCTTGCTCATGGGTATTTCTGTCTTTGTGATTTTTCTCTCTGAACTCTCACTCTCCAAGCTCGGACAATAGCTTGAGATAACGTTTTCACAGGAATCCCTCATTCTTTGAACTCTTAAGGCCGTTTGCTCTGTAGAACCTAGCAGCCAAACAGATCCAGGTATTTTGGCATCTTCCATATCTAGACTCATAATCCGAATTCTCTCCATCCAACACAGAAAACAAGTAGGTTTGAATGGTGAGGGATACTTCTTGTTTTGTTTGTTTGTTTGTTTGTTTTTATTTTTATTTTTTAAATTTATTTATCTTTAGAGGGGGAGGGAAGGAGAGAGCGAGAGAAACATCAATGTATGGTTGCCTTTCATGCGTCCCCTGCTGGGAATTGGCCTGCAGGGAACTGGCCTGCAACCCAGGAATGTGACCTGACTGGGAATCGAACCGTAATTGTCTGGTTTGCAGGCCCGCGCTCAATCCACTGAGCTACACAAGCCAGGATTTTTTTTTTCTTCTTGTTTTTAATGAAATAGGAGCAAACTGTTTTGTAACCTGCTTTTTTTCTACTGGTTACACTTATTAGTATATTTCTATTTCATTAAATACTTTTACAATGTAATTTTTAAATGGCTGGCTAAGATTATTAAAATATGTACAGTGTACTAAATATATATAAGGATATATTTAACCATTTCACTGTTGTTGGATATTTAAGTTTATTCTAGTCTATTAGTAATTGTGTTGTCATAAAAATTCTTGGAACTAAAAGTTTGCCCTCCATGATCTTTGGAATCAGTTTTCGTGTCAGTTTAGAAACTAGTTGTTCCTGCTATGATGGGGTCTGTAAGTAGTCTCATATTCAAGAGGCTTGGCGTGATTTAAATGATTGTAAAAAACCAGTACTTCTGCAGTTTCCCTGCTGTGTGATACTTTATATTCTAAAATATAGATTTATCCCTGGAAAAGTGCACAGTAATATTTATTTCCTCTTAAAAGGGCACAAAGTGAGAAAGGCCCAGTGGTTTGATGTCAGGCGGGCTTATTTGAACTTGATTCTCCATTCAGTTTCCTCATCTTTACAGTAAGGATAAAATAATAGGTGTCACAGGATTTTTGTGAGGTTTCAGTGAGACAAAGTATCAAGATGGCTCGAGTTGTTTTATCGTTATTCACATCATTGCTGTTCACAGCCTCACTTACTTTCAGAATCAGTTTGTGTATTGAGACTCCATTACTTAGTTCAGTAGCTTTCAAAATATTGTTCACACTTAGAAATCTGCTTTGCTTCCTATCTCACATGCACACACACACATTTAAAATATTATCTTCATTTTTGCAAAACCTGGTATTTTATTATTTTTCTTTTTCTTTTAAAGGCCATGTCCCATTAAACTGCTTTTAGAGCCACAGTTGGGAAAATGTCAATCTAGTGAGTCAGTGGTGAAGCGGAGTTCAGTGTATGGTATTTATCTTTATCTCTATCGTCACCAGAAGTCACTTGAAGTGAGGGTCACTTCAGGTCCTTTTTAGAACCGACACACAATAAGAGAAGTTAATTAAGTTCATAAGGGCAGCCAGGGCTTCGGAGTCACGTAGAATGGGGCTGAAATTTTGGCCCTGAGAAAGTTTCTTCGCTTCTCTGAGCCTCAGTCTCTTCCTCTGTAAGCCAGATGTTAGGCAATAGAGATTTAAAATGTGTATACTCTTGAGCTGTACTTCTTGGATTCAACCTTTTCCCACCTCGATTTCTTCACCAGTGAAAGAGGGAAAACGGTATTTACGTCCCTGCCCTATGAGGACTAAGTGAACATCTGGAAACGGCCCACTCTGTAGGAAGCCCTCAGTGACAGTCGTTACCGTGTGTGGAAGGGGATAATAAACTACCAAAGATTTGTTTTTGAGAGAAGACTAAAATAATGACTGTAAAGTCCCTACCACAGCGATTAGTTCTGCATTTAGTAGAACATAGTTGGTTGAATGATTGAGACCCTTTCATGTATTTAGTAGTGTGACATTTCTTATCACATTACTATTACATCATCATGTAACTCTGAGGCGATGAAAATATTTTAACATGAATCTTGCTGTATCAGCCCTGCCGTGGATATCGTAACTCGTAGGCCAGCTCCTGAGTTTCTTGTAAGCTTCTTTTCAGATACTGTGGTGCCCACATTCTTTAGATGCCTTTCTCTTTTTTATGTTATGCTTTATTTATTTTTTGTCCTTATTTGTTGCATTCCCTAATTTGTCTACAAACATACCATGAAAAGTACAGAATTTTGACCATAAACAACAGTTCACCTCCGATTCCTATTGAACATGAAGGCAGAAAGTAACTTTGCCAAGGTTTTCAGTTAGTGGCTAAGCTGGGATTGGATCCTAGTTCTTTTGACTTCTAATTTATTAAGTGTTTTATCCACAATACCAAGATGTATTTTGGAAATAAATGGGTCAGACTTAGTATTTAATTTTGAACTTAACCATGAATTTCTTACTTTTTTCCTTAAAAACTTAAAGGAAAATTTAAAGAATAGTTGGTAATTAAAAAGATCATCTCTTCCCATAAATTTGATTTCAGGTCAGCAATTGACATTTAGATCTGTTCCACACATCTCTGTAAGATTGAGTCAAGAAATTATTTTAAACCATCAAAATTACCCACTTACAAAATTAAAAAAAAATTTTAACTATGTTAAGGTGATAAATTTGGTAAATGTGGAGTATTAGTAAAAACTAGCATTGGTTTTGTAGGTCATGTGAATTTTATTTATATTTTTATTACTAAAAAAAATTAACAGGCTCCCCTGAATTCTCTATGGCTTTTGGTCATGCTAATTTTTAACATTTGCTTAAACATTTTAATACTGTCTATTCTAAATCAGAAAAGGTGTCTAGTTTGTGAATAATCCAGGTGCCTTTCCTCCTCACTATGGCTTTGGTCATTTCATTTATCAGCCCTTAATGAAGGAATAAGGCTGAATGTTGGGTTGGTAAAACTCAAAACTCTCAGTTTTTGTGCTTGTTACCTTCGGTGTTAAACACCATTCTTTGAAAATTGACAAAGGCTACTGAAATAAAAATGCTCTTTAGCATCCTCTTTGGATTTCGTTTTCTGGAATCAAGGGTTTCCTTATAGCTGCAGTCCTGTCGAAACTCGGTGGTGTACCAGAAGATGCAGTAGGGGCCTTATGAGAGAAGGCTCTGACTGTGTTGGGAAGAGCTTGCCCTGGTGTTGAGCAGCGGAGGCACTGAGGATGGCAAACTCTGAGACAGCCAGCCGTGGATGGGAGGGTCAGGTCTCAGAATGGGAGGTATATCGTGGGGTGAAGAACTGCTTGAACAGGTGTTCTGAGATAAGAGCGCTGCCTGGGTTAGTGGCAGTCATTTCTGCATGCTTTTGGCCAGTCCTTTATCTGTAGCCCTAATGTCAACATTAACCAAAATTTGTGAGCCATAAAATGGGAACACAGAGGCTGATTTTTTTTTCCTGATTTTTGAGTTTAATGATGCAAAGCATCTTAAGAAGGTACATAAATATAATCAATCGTATCTTTAGCTGTGTATTTAAATGGTTTTCTTGAAAACAAAATTGAGGACTGTATAGGGAAATTTTGGACATCTGATTGTTAGATCTGTATCTAGCCTGTCATTCATACATACATAGTTACGCACATGGATGAATTCCCCTTCTTTGTTTCTTGACACAAGTCCAGGCCTTCTTCCCCTTGCAACTCATATACCGCGGCAGCCTCCTCATCAGTCTCCCTCGGAATAGTTCCCATTCTTTTAATGCAGTCTTTAACCTTTGTCACGGAGTTCTAAGTCACCCCTTTGCTCTCTGCTACTGCTTCGTAAGTGTTCAGTTTCCTCGGCCTGCCTCAAAAGACCCCTTTCTACCTGGTTACCACCCCCCTCCCCCACCACCTCAGTGTCTTGTAGGAAAGCCAGTTCCTCACTGTTCCTCTTACGGTGCTCGGCTTTGACTGCCCTCGTCTGCACTGTTTGTCCTCTCATCTTCCCTTCCTTTCCCTTTTCTGAACTCATGTTGTACATAACACCTCACAATGTAGTGCTTCATTCTTTTGTGTCTGTAGAAGGAGATTAGACCAGAGACGCCTGGAATTTCATCCCTGTGTCTCAGTTCCTGCTACCTACATGGAAAGCACTTCATAAAAAAAGTATTAAGTGAATAATCAAGGAATAGCAGCTACAGAGGTCATGAAGAATCTTTTCAAGACCAAGATGGCTATTTGACATCAGAAGCTGAGGGGAGCCTAGTATCTGAAAAGTGGGAAGACTTCCTGAATGAGCGAGGGCAGTGTTTTCTATGCAGCAGAATTGTAGGCTGGGAGGACATGGAAGACAGGTATCCTGTGCCTCAGGTGTTCTGAAGTGCAAAAGATATTTTTCTTGGTGTCAAGTTTTATTCATTGAACACACAGGAATGGTCTGAGACTTGAAAAATTGTCCTTCCCACTACCACGGTGCTCAGGTAGGTTGGTCTTCGAGAAAGGGAGGAGAGGGAAGGACAAGGGAGGTCCAGTGGAAGATGTATAAATGGATCTGATTATTCCTGCCCAAGGAGAGAGAAGAAAAATAACCAGTAATTATGGTAGTAGAGTCCCAGGAGTCTAGTTTGAACAGCATTCTCAACTAATGCAGTAATTTAACTGATGAGTGACAGACTGGTGGCATTCAGCTTGGAGTTTTATTTGGCCATACCTTCCACATTCTTTCTCCTTAGGAAGTGCCCAAACGTGTAGATTCCAGCGACAGCAAGGCATATGGGATATGAGTGTGGTTTTGTTTTACACTCCAGCAGCTATAAAATGAGTAAAGAAAAATCTGGAATTTTTTTTTTCCTAAAGAAAATTGAATGGCTTCTGTACATCTCTTCTTTGGTATGACTCTGAATTAAATTTTAAGTTTAGGGATTATTTAATTCCTACCCTTTATCTTCCTCAAGAATCTAAAAGCTTTTTATAACTAAAAAAAGGTTGCAATTCCCTTGAGCTTCTGCCAAGAGCATACAGAGATGCCAAAATTTATGTGTGGGAAAGTTGATTTCAATGAGGGTAATTTAGCTGAAGTTTAGTCTAAGAAACTAGTGTTTTGCTGCCAAGCAATTATTTGCATTTCTAAAAAATGACATACTTTTTACCAATGCTTTCTTTTCATCACAGACTAGTTACTTAAGTTATTGTCACTAATGGTATATTTCCTGTAAAGGAAACTGTGCTTGTTTAATTTGGTTAACGTCAGCCTTTTAAAAAATATGTGATTTGAGTACTTCTATTAAATGTTGCCTTTTATTTGAATAATATTCACAGGAATTCAATCAACAGCTAGAAAAAAGAAAAGAAGAGGAAGAACGTGAAAAAAGAAAGATAATTGCTGAAGAAAAGCACAAGGAATGGGTTCAGAAAAAGAACGAACAGGTAAGGAGAAAAGAAATGCATGCACACACACACACACACACACACACAGGTGTCTTCTGCAAAAGATATTTTCTCCCCGTTACTCCTCGTCCCCTAGGTCTCTCTCTTATCTCTTGGATGCTTTCCTCTCTGACCCGATTTCTTTTTCTGTCCTCATGGACATTTATGAAGTCTCCTGTCTTCTGCTTTTTGCTCTCTGCGTATCTCCCCTTTCCCTCATGTGGCTTCTTCCTGTATGTGGCTCCTTCCTGTATCTGGCTGCAGGTAATCTGACATCTGTACCCCTAGACCTGATCTCCTGGAGTCTTGGATTTCTATCTGTGAGGTTGGCTGCTACCTCTGAGCCTGCAAATCTAAAACAGCCCATTTTTGCCCATTCTCCTTTGTGAGAACTGTTCTCCTGACTCTTGGTTACTGTCACCTAGGCATAACCAGAATTCTGTGGTTTGTAGTCATCCCCTCCTTTCCTTTAAATCACCTCTTTCCTGTTGTGATCTCTTCCTGTCCAGTCTCATTACATTTTCCAACTTTGTTTTTTTGTTTGTTTATTTTCCCATACTGTAATGTAAGCTCCATAAGGGCATCTATTTTTGATTTTTTTTGTTCAGTTCCCTAGCAGCTAGATCAGTATCTAACACTTAATAGATGCCCCAATGCACCAAGATATTTGTTGAATGAATGAATCTATCCTCTGTGTTCTTGCCCGACTAACTTTGCTGAAACAGTTGAATGTCATTTCCCAGTTCAGAAAATACTTTTCATGATTCCTCACTGGCTTCTGAATCACGTTTTAACAATTCTACCCTGGCTGGTTGAAGACCTTCTACTCTGGGCTCTTGGGGTCATGTCGTCCTCTACCTGTGGTTCATTTATTCTCTGTGGTTCATTTATTCTCTGTGGTTCATTTATTCTGTGCTGTTGGCTCTTAGGGCATTCTTTTAGGAGTATGCACAGGATAATCGTGGCCCATCATCTTGGAGTATTAGTTTTACTGGAAAATTTTGAGAGGAAAAATGTTATCTTTATGATAAAGCAAGCATAGATGTTTAATGAGGCAGAATATAAATTTTATATGACTTTTAAGATACACAACAGAGTCAAAGAAATTTTGAGCTTCGGGCTGTACTCTTCAGCTCCTAGGAATATGTGTTTATGACAAATTTTAAGAACATTTTTCTTCTGTTTCTTACTTTTTATTTATTTATTTTTTTTAAAGATTTTATTTATTTATCTTTAGAGGGAAGGGAAGGAGAGAGGGAGAGAAACATCAATGTATGGTTGTCTTCCGTGCGTCCCCTGCTGGGAACTGGCCTGCAACCTAGGCATGTGCCCTGACTGGGAATTGAACCACTCTCGTGTGATTCGTAGGCCCGTGCGCAATCCACTGAGCTACACCAGCCAGGGCCTTACTTTTTATTTTTTATATGATATTTTATCAGCATGGAATCTCATCATATCCTTCACCTTACCTTTCCTTATATTACCCAAATCACAGCATTTCCTCCTGCATGAAGCATTTGCTGCTCACGTGCTAAAACACTCTTTCCTTCTTGAAGCCTTATTCATAGTTATCACTTTGTCATACACTGCTTTGTATCAGGTATGTATTGTGTTGCTCTTTTGTATTATGCATGTATCTTCCCTTTGCTTGTCATTTTAAGACTTAAGGATAGGAATTAACTTTTCTATTTTTAATTCATTACGAGATCTAATATAATGCTATACAACAACATTTGTTGTTGGAATGAATGGAAGAACAGTATTTCTTCAATTTTAATACATTCTTGTATTGGATCGCAAATTAAAAAGTTCTAAATACCTATCAGTTTGTTATCATGAGTTTTTCATATTTAGAATGATACTGCTTTTTTATTATAATCTAAGTTTATGAATTTAGTCAAATATTTAAATTGTTAGGCAAAGTGTTAAAATTTTTATAGCTATTTTTCCCTTAGCTATTGCTATATCTAATGCTCCATGGTATTAGTGAGAATACCTTGTAAATCCTTTCAGTAAATTGACGATGACACACCTTTCTTCCTCCAGGTACTGAGAGAAGGAAATGGGCTAGACGTTCTGTGTTACGACCATAAATGTATTTGTTCTTTACTTTAGAAGTATATTATTGTTATTAATGTAGCAACATCCCATAAGACAGCAAAAGAGAGTTCTTTGGGAATGAATCCCAAAATCAAAATAAGTGTTCACGTGACACTTACCAACCTTTGGCTGATACTTTTTTGAAGTTTATAACCGAAAAATAAAGTAGTTTTACATATAGACAATAATAGCATGCTCTCTCCTCTAAAAGGTTTCCTTATCTTCTAACTCAAGTAGGCTCATTTTGCCCTGCCAGTCAGAGGTAGTTGTTTTTTGTCCGAGAATGTAAGATACTGCTGAGAGATGATGTGTTCTCCGCTTTAATTAGTGGCAGTCAATCTAATCCAGTTATTTGAGAGAAAATTTCGTTCTTTGGAAGGAAATGGCACACCCTAACATCAGTCACTAATTATTGAAAGCAGGATTCCACAAGGTTGAGAAAAGTTCAGAAATGAACCCTGAGAAATTGAGTTTACTTATTCTGCAGAAGTTCTGTTCATTTTAAGAAATAACTGAGTACTCAATTTTTTTTTTCTTTAAAACCTATCAGATTTCTCATTTCAGTCAGTTTACTTCTGTTTGCAAAGACTGCCCTCCTGGTTCTTTTCTTTCTGTCTGGCATCTAGCGTTTTTCTCCGCTGTTTACATTGCATGGTGTGTGGTCCTCCACTGCCTCCAGCGTCATTCACATTTTAGCTGAATTTCTGGCCCTATTTTCTCTCCGTAGTTTCACAGTGTTCTATCAAAAAATCAGACAAAAAGAATTTATGTGTCCATTAGCAAAGCTGGTTTCTTATACTAGGACCGTAAGTTGTTAAATCTGTTTCAAATAAATGGCTTATCTCATCTTACATTTGTGTTGCCAACTGATTTATGTTTTTAGGTTTGTTTTTTGCAGTGTGTTATCACATATTTAGTAAAAGGGTCTTTATCTTCATTGTTTTTCAAAAGTCATTTAAAAATATATCTAATAGTAAAAAAAATAGTTATTTAATAATAAAATTATTTTTAATCCTCAAAGCATGGAACTGATTTTTTAATGTAAAAAATTAACTGGGTCAACAATGCGTATAATCGGTAACACTGTTAGAGTGTATCCTTCCCGCATTCTACACCTTTACTATGTGCCCAGTACTATTGAAGGAGCCAGAGCAGAAATTCAGAAACCTTAGCCAGTTGTTTTGTTAGTTTCCCTGAGTTCAAGAAACAGAGCTTCTCTCAGGGCACCATCTTTAAAGAGGGAAGATTTATTGTTGTGCTCTGTGCAGTATAGAACGCGAATACCCGAAAACCTGAAGCCAGTCAGTGGCCGGCCACTCTCTCTCAGCACCCGTCTCCAAGCACCTGCTCCGCTCTCCTTTTGCTAACTAAAAGCCTTCCATTCTCTCTTCTCCACCTTAAATCCCATGGAGAGCCTATCCGATGTTTTAAAAACAACTTCTTTGAGCTATAATTTATATACAAACTATATACTCCTATTTTATATACTCCTATTTATATACTCCTATTTAAAGTTTGATGAGGTTTGACAACCTTGCATCCCTGTTTAACCAGCAGCACAGTCAGGATCCAGAACCTTCCCATCACTCCAAGAGGTTCCCTCCCACCACTTTGCCTTCAGCCCCTACACCCCACGCCCAGCTAACTCCCACTCCAAGGAAGCCATTAGTCTGCTTTCTGTCCCTGCAGATTAGATTTGCATTTTCTAGACTTTTATTTAAATGGAATCCTGAAGTATGTATTCTTTTATTTTTAAAATTCCCTACTTTATCTACTAAGATCGTTCCTTTTTTATTGCTGAGTAGTATTCTAGTCTATGGAATACCACAAATTGTTTATCCATTCGCTAGTTAATGTACAATGGGTTGTTTCTGGCTTGGGTATTATGAATAAAATTCTATGACAACTTATGTGCAAGTCTTTTCTGTGGACATTTGTTTTCATTTCTCTTGGGTAAGTGCCTAGGAATTGAATTGCTGGGTTGCCTGGTAAGGATGTGTTTAACTTTATAAGAAATTGCCAAACTGCTTTTTAAAGTGCTTGTATCATTTTACATTCCCACCACTATTGTATGAAAATTCCAGTTGCATTCCATCCTTGCCAAACTTTACATTGTCAGTTTCTTTCATTTTAAGTCATTTTAGTAAGTATGTAGGGGTACATCGTTGTTGTTTAATTTTAATTTCCCTGAGAGCTAATGATACCTAGTATCTTTTTATACACTTATTTATTGTACCGTTTTACTAGGGCTGCCTTAACAAATACCACAGACTGGATATTAAGCAACAGAAATTTGTTTCCTTAGAGTTTTGGAGGCTAGAAGTCCAAAATGAAAGTGTCAGCAAGGTTTGGTTTCTTCTGAGGCCTCTCTCCTTGGCTTGTACACCGATCCACTCTCTCCACCCACTCAGTGGCCTCTCCTCCGCGCATGCGCTCTTGAAGTCTCTCTTTCCTCACGTAAGGACCCCGGTCCTGTGACCTGATGACCTTACCGAACTGATTACTTCTTTGAAGGTCTTTTCTCTGTACACAGTCATGTTGAGGCAGGGCTTTAACATGTGAATTGGAGGCAGGGCCACCCAGTTCAGTCCATAGCATTATCGACTCTTTCTGTATCTGTTCTTGTTTTGTGTTAAATGTTTGCCCATTTTGTGGAAGGTGTGTTTTATCAATAAAGTTTAAGGGTTCTTTATCTATTCCTTGAAGTCCTGTCACCTAGGTGAATTGCAATATTCCTTCCCATTTAATTTATTTTAATAGCAATTTTTAAAGAGAAGTTTTAAATTTTTATAAAGTTCCATATTTAAATATTTTCTTTTATAGTTTGTGGGGTTTGTGTCCTAGTAAAAAACCATCAAGGATGTAAAAATAGTCTTGTTTTCTTTTAGAAGTTTTGTAACTTTAGCTTTTACCTGTATGTATATTTTGAATTAATTTTAATATATGGTTACAGTTACGGGTCAGGGTTCTTTTTGTGTGTGTGTGTGTGTGCATATGGATATCCAAGTGTTTCAACACTGTTTGTTGAAAAGATAATATTTTTCTTACTCAGTTACCTTGACACTTTTGTTTGAAATCAATTGATCACATACATATGAGTTTATTTCTGGACTGTCTTCTGTCCCATTGATCTGTTATGTTCTATGCCAGTGACACACTAGCCTGTTGTTAGAGCTTAATACTTCTAGGGTGTGCAGTTCTTTCTATTTCAAAATTGCTTTAGTTACTTTGCATCTTTCCACATACAATTTGGAATCGTCTAATCAATTTTCCTAGTCATGCTTGCATTCAAAGTGCCTGACACTATTGGCATTGCATTAAATATATAGATAATTAAAATTGCCATCTTAATTTAAATGTTAAATCAATGAACATGATTTTTCTTTTATTTATTTAGGTCACCTATAATTTCCTTCAGTAATGTGTTCTAGTTTCCAGTGGACAGGGGTGTTATCCATCTCTAGTTAAATATACCACTATGTATGTCACGTTTTTGAAGATGAGAGTGGTTACTGTGCCTTATTTCTGATGTCGTCTAACAGTTTCTGTGTCTGGTTTTGATATCAGAGTAATACTAGGCTCTTAAAATGAGTTTGGATATGTTTCTTTTGTTTTCTATTTTCTAAAATAATTTTTGTAGTGATTGTCTTATTTCTTCCGTAATGTGAGGTAGAATCCACCAGTGAAGCTATCTAGAGTTTTCTTTGTGGGAAAGTTTTAAATTCAGAATTGTTTTTGCAAGTAGAAGGTTATTCAGATATTCATTTCCTCTTGAATCAGCTTTCTACAGTGGTATATTTTAAGCAATTTTTACATTCTATTTAAGTTGAAATTATCAGCATAAAAGTGTTTTTAGCATTATCTCAATTCAATGTCTGTATGATTAGTAGTAATCCACCATTTACCGTCTCTCTGACCTTAGGCGAGTTACTTAACCTCTTTGTGTCTTAGTTTCCTTATTCATAAGGTGAGATCATAACAGTATCTACCTCATGTAGTAGTGATAAGAATTAATTGACATAGTACATGCGTATAAAATATACAGAATAGTAACAGGCAGAGTTAGCACTGGATAAATGTTAGCTGTTACCATTAAAAACAGTGTAGGGACTGGACAACCCCTTGGTGATGCAATCACGATGGAGTCTCATGAGTCAGACAGATCCTTCGAGGTACAATTCTTCATCCTTCTTAACCCTGTAGATTTGCTGGCAGTATGAAGTTGTCGAAACCCAATATTCAGTGGATAAAATCAATGGGTATTGAGTTCTCGGCAAGAATGGATTCCTTTTTGTACTTGTTGGCTGCCAACAAGAAGGAAATACAACTCGGGGAATGACTTGAGCTTTGATCTTTAAGACCTGCCTTTCCTGTATAGAACTGAACATGTATTTATAACTGATGTTTGTGACTTGGGAATTAATCGAATTGCTTATATTAAAATATTCTAGAAGTTGCTTTCGAGGCAAAAATTTTCTTTCTTGGCTCGCATCTCTTTGCTCCACGAAGGGTGATGTGTATGGCATTTGTATCATAAACTCTATGCCTTGTAGATTATTTTCTAAACCTTTGCTACAGACAGCTACCCATGTCGTTGGTTGTTTAGAATTTAGCTGTGTTGGTAGATTATCTTTTGAATAAGAAAAGAAAAATACTGAGTTATAGCCTGTGTCAAACTTTTTCTGCAAAGGACCAGCTGCTGTTTTTGGCAGTGTAAGCCATACAGTCTGTGCTGCAACTGTTTGGGACTTGGCTGTTTTGGTGCAAAAGCTGCCGTAGACAATAAATATATAAATAAAAGGGTGTGGCCGTTTTTAATAAAACTTTATCTTAAAATAAAGGGGACCAGTGGACCATAACTTGGTCTGAGGGCTGTACTTTGCCAACCACTTGTCTATGTAAGATTTGACAAGAACTACATAGCCAGGCCTTGGCTGGTGTAGTTCAGTGGATTGAGCACGTGCCTGTGAAGCCAAGGGTTGCTGGTTTGATTCCCAGTCAGGGCACATACCTGGGTTGCAGGCCAGGTCGCCAGTAGGGGACACAGGAGAGGCAACCACACATTGAGGTTTTCTCTCCCACTCTTTCTCCTTCCCTTCCCCTCTCTCTAAAAATAAATAAATAAAATATTTTTTAAAAGAGAATTACTTAGCCAAAGATTTGTCTGTATGTGCCCTTACAGCAATATTTAATGGGCCAAATGTTATTTATTTGTCCTCTGTAACTCACTGATGGTGAAGATTTGTTCAACTAATCATATTGGCAAACTGTACAAGAAATGTGTACATATGTGTTACTTAGATTTTAGAGGATAAACATCTATTAAAAAACACAAATTCAGGACAAACAGGCTGTCATTTCTGTTTACTAACTTATTCAAGTCTTTATTGAGCACATACTATTTACTCAGCACTGTCTCAGGCTCTGAGTATACTCTGGAGAAAAAGATCTTTATTACTGCCATAATGAATCTCATAGCAACTTGTTAGACTAAAATTGTCCAGGTAATTGCAGTTTTCTTACATAGTTTCACAAACCAAATTGTGTCAACCAATTTTGCCACCTATTTTGGGAAATAACCGAAGTCTAGGAGATTATTGTATATAGCACTTTTTCTTTGTATGAGGGTAATTACAGATATTCCGATTAAAATTCCTTTATTTTTATTTAAGAAAAGAAAAGAAAGGGAACAAAAAGTCAACAAAGAAATGGAAGAAAAAGCAGCAAAGGAACTGGAGAAAGAACATTTACAAGAAAAAGCAAAAGAAAAATATCAAGAATGGTTAAAGAAAAAAAAAGCCGAAGAATGTGAGAAGAAGCGGAGAGAAAAGGTATGTAAAGTGCCCGGTTAGAATTCACGGCTTCGGTGTTCATGTGTGTCCACCGTATTGCACTAGAAGTCACTAATAGGAAATTGGCACTGTCGTAGCATAAAACGGATACAGGGAAGCTGTCCCTACTTAGTATGCTGTAAGCTCCAGAAATGATTATGCATTGGTGGTTTTCTTAGGTTGAGAAATGGTAAGAAGCCTGTCGATATTTTTTTCAGTTAGGTTCAAACACTTTTTATTATTGTTAATGCTTTTAAATATTTTTGGTGTAATACTTTTATTATATTAAATATTTAAATATTTTTGGTATAATACTTTTATTATATCACTATAAAGTACTATTCTATTTTAAAATAGCAAATTGCGTTTTTCTTCTTGGGTTCGATGGCGTGTATAGACGCAGCCACTTTCATATCACATTCCTGATCACGTTAAATTCTGTTCTCAATTAGAGAAATGCGATTTGTTATTTCTCATCTGTAAGCCACTGGGGTAGGAAGCTGCTGGGGAAATGTCAGTAGAACTTTAGTTACAGAATATCCCTGGAGATTCTTTGGTCTTGTCATTTTAAGGAAAAAGAAAAACAACGTCAAGCTGAATTACAGGAAAAAAAGGAAATAGCAGAGAAAAAGTTTAAGGAATGGTTGGAAAATGCAAAAAATAAGCCTCGTCCTGCTGCAAAGAGCTATGGTTATGCCAACGGAAAACTTACAGGTTAGTGTTTGTGTTAGGTGACTTACGTAAACACGGGCTGCGGACTGAGTGGTGTCCATTTTGTTTTCTCTTGACAGAAAGGGAAATGTGTGAAAATCGTTTTTTCTTTCAAAGTACTATTTTCTGCACCATTGTGTAATAGTATACTATGATCCTGTGGAGATACTACAAATTTATTGCCATTCTCTATAAATCAGATATATTTTAAAGGCTGTAGTTGCAAAGCTGCAAAGTAATGATTTCTCATGTTAAGAAACAAGTTATATTTTCTTACGTTTTGTTTTGTTTGGACTTCAGAGCCTTAAACAGGAATATGTAAGGGGTGATTTTTCCTTTCCTCCTTGTAACCCTCTCTGAGGCAGAGTTTCCAGGGTCTGCGACACATTCTTTGCGCAGGTGGAATACTAGACAACACACAAACCAGACACAAAGCCGGCTGGGCCGTAGGCTCGCTCTGGTTATAAATGGTGGTGCATGTTTTCCCTTGTGCTTCACATTGGAAGCTCATACCTTGCTGACAGCTGCCTTCACTTGTTTAAGTGATTTATTATTAAAAATACTCCCATTCTGTTTTGTTCACACAATAGAACATATTCCAGACTTTGTTTTGACCATCGTGGTGAAGTGTGTGTTGACATATCTGTGCAGTCAGAGTGGGTTGCCGGTGTCTGAGTGACACATTCCTGCTGCCAGGGCTCAGGCCTCTCCTGCGTGTCACAGAGGTCACCCGTTCCGGCTCCCGAGCACGGTCTGCTCCACTTCTTTTTCTTTCCCCTTTGGAAAAGGTATAATGAGCAGTGCTTTGGACCAAATGACTGGTTAAACCTGTAGGAGGAAATTTACATGTTGACTGGAAGTTAATTGCTAAAATAATGGATTGTTTTATTTTTTTTACTTTTAAGGAGTTTTAGTCTAATAAGCATCATATTTGTCTGCAAATGCCCTTAAGTCTCTGTTCTTAAGCCCACATCGTTTTTAGAAATTATGACATAAAGGCATTTACATGTGTACAGTGACTAGAGGATTTGAATATGATTTACATGTGTTTTTCCTTCAGAATTATTAGATATTGGACATCACAACTCATTAAACACTTTATAGACATTCTGCCAGGAGGACATTCCCTAATCAGTAATAAAAATTACAGTGACGTTAGTCATCTGAGTGACAGTAATTTAGAATTTCAATGATTCTAGCTCCGAATCTTGACTCACTTTAGCCACACAGGCGGTGTCATTTTTTTCCTGTGAATTTGAGTGTCAGCCTGGGGGAAAATGGTACATGGTTAGTGATTAATTCCCACATTCAGTTAAGAAAATGAAGACTTTGTTCAATTTAAGGAATCTAAACTTAAATTCTTAGTAAAACTTTAGAAGTTTTTCTATAGACTTCAGCATTAACATTTTTTGGACTCAGGTTTATCATTTACATGTTCATTTTTACTGCAATATTTGCTGTATTTAGAAAGTGTTACTTGTTTGAAAGTATTCAAGAGTTCATTTTAAACGAGTCAGCTTGGTTTAATGATATTTTTTGCCCTTTTGATACTTGAAGATTTTTCTAGGAATTTAAAAATAACGAGTTTCTTTGATATCAAGTTACCTTGTTTTGTTTGGATTTTTTAATAATTTTAGGTTTTTACAGTGGAACTTCTTATCCAGAGCCCGCCTTTTATAACCCGATTCCCTGGAAACCAGTTCATATGCCTCCTGCCAAAGAAGCTAAGGATGTATCAGGAAAGAAGACAAGGAGGCCCGTGATCAGCCAGCCACACAGGCCGTCGTCCCTGGTAATTCGTAAAGCCGGAGGCAGCCTTTGCCTTGGAACTCTGCGCCGGGTTCAGAGATAGCAGACGTGGGCAGCTGCACACGTTTTCCTGTAGCTACTTAACTTTCAAATCAGAAATTGGGTTGTTACTGCTCAGTCTGTAGCTCAGCATTTAATGTGATTATTGACAAGTTCAAATTTTTGCATTTATATATGGAGTTCTTAGAGTTAACTAAAGATATTTTATACATTTTCATTTTTGTACATGCTTTAAGGTTGATCTGGGCATATCGTTTTGAAGGACAAGTGACCAATTATCTAACAGTTGTATTTCGCTTGTATTAAAACCACTGCGATACCAATAAAACCAACAGATTTTTTTTGTGTTCTTTTGTATTCTATGTTATTTGTGTTAATGCTTACAGCAGAAAAGATTAAGATTAAATGACTCAAGCACTTCTAAATGGCATGCTTAAGATAACTTCTAGAAGAATCTGAATGCGTTGGGATCTTATAGTAGTCAAAACCAGTCCTGTTGGATGACTTTTCTCTATGTAAATATTTTTAAATAACTAAGTGAAGGCATGTTTTATAACAGAGAAATGAGGGTTGGGATTTTGAAAGGAAATTTCAAAACATTTTGGGCCCTGGGTCTTGGATATTAGTGATCTTGAGACAGTAGTAAAATTATGCTGTGCTTTGTACAAATACTTATTATTATTAGGTTTTTAATTTTGAAATTAGGATTATCAGTACAGTGCATTTTAAAGTTAATTGTTAAGTGATATTTTGCCAAAGTTGAGATCACAGACCTTATTAATGAATGTTAAGGATAATGGTTCAAAGGATTACTAAAATAGCACTCAGCACTTTTTATTCAATTTTAAAGGTTTGTATCTTTTTTTTAGGGGACCATCAAGGAATGAAAATTTATTGTGGCACTCTAAAGTCAGTAAGTTCATTTAAAAGTGACTTCAATTTAGAATATATCCCATGTTTCTGCTGTTCTAGTTGTTTGCCGACTTTCCTGTGAGTAACCTGCAGTGGACTTCAATGCAGGCAAACAGCAGTCAGATCTCTGAAGGGCATTCGTGTCGTCAGAAATGTAGGAGAATTCTGAGCAGAGAACAGTTTGGGAGAAGTGGACAGGATGTGTTGGCCCAGAACATTGGCGAGGTCTGCAGGCCTGACCTCTTCTCAGAACCTCTTAGATACAGTGAAATTTACAGATGATCACTCGACTTGAGTGAAATTACCTATGTAGAGAGATTGAAGAATTTGGCAGAGTAGCAATAAAGTTGTGTGTGAAAAACGTGCATAGGCTTGAATTCCTGGGTGTTAGTAACAGTTGTTATACCTAAGACACCTTCAGTTTCACTCAGTAGGTTAAATCATTTAGGCATCGTTTAGCTATAAACATAATCCTAATAAGACTTTTCATTCAATCAGTAGTTAATGAATTTGACCAGTGTTAACTGAACATTTACACTGTGACAGATGTTTTGCATATTAGAGCAGCAAACATTTATAGCCTAGCCAGGAAAATATGACAGAGTAAATGCTGTAATATACTATGCTTCAAATTGTGTTCAGAGTTTACCCGGGAACAGCCTGGGAAAGGGTTTAAGAAAGTCTTCAAAGGATGTTACGTTTGAGTTGGTGAAAGTTAAGCAGGAATTTTCTAGATGGTCATGAGGCTGACCGCACTCATGGACGCAAGGTGAAAAGCGGCTGGTACAGAAGCAAGGGTCAGGGTGGAAAGGCTCTGTGTGCTGCAGAAATTGGACTTGGTTCTGTGGGCTTGGGACATCCTGCTTTGCTACTTTAATGATACGTTTAAAAAAGGTTTTGACTACTATATAGTCATTGAATATTACAATCTCGTTTTTCTTAAAGTCAGTATACAATACTTGATATTTTAGGCATTACAAACTGCATTATACATTTGAAATTTCTATTGTGGTTTTTAAAATACCTCTTTGACTTTTATGACTACTTTGATTAGAAGTGCTCTGAAATATCTTAGTCACCTGTGTTGTCAACAAATTCATGATCCAATGGAAGGGACACACACATTGTAGACCCAAGTCTGGGTTTGAGTCCCGGCTTTATGTCTGCGCCTCTGGAAGGTGCCTTTTTGGTCTCAGTGTTCAGTGCCTTATCTAACTGAGAAATGTACTATGGGGGACTAAAAAGGCACATTTGTTTCTTTTCTATATAATGATAATTCTGATAGGGTGTACCAATATTCTTTTTTCTTTAGTGATAGTTGATTTACATAAAAACTGACTTAGGCTAACACACCAGTTTTGACTGATGCTATACCAAAAATAAGTTAGTCGGTGTTTAGGGCAGACTTTCATTTGCTCCTATGCTAAAAGTAGGAAGTAAATACTGTCTTTATAATTTTCTTCAAATTGACTCAATGAATAATTTATGAAGTGCCTACTGTGTGCTAGGTAGTATTCTCCATGCTGTGAATAAAGGAGGGTCCCTGCTGCTCTATGGAATCTTCTGGAACAGTGATAGGAAGCAAATATTAAACATGTAAACTAATAATTTATTTGTGTGTATGTGCTGTAAAGAAAATAAAACAGAGCATTGGAATAAACCAGTGATTTTCAACCAGTATGCCACAAGAATTTTTAAAACATGTTAACCCCTGACTAGTCAGGGGCACCACCTCTTTTCCCTTTGATTGTCAAATAAAAAATGACAACAGCCAATACAACAACAGCTGTTTGGTGTGAGTGAATCAAAATTATACTTATTTTCCTTTGTCAGATTGGCACAAAACAAATTTTGTGGTGTGCTGCAGAATTTTAGTGATTGATAGCTATGTGTGCCAAGAGATGAAAACAGTTGAAAATCACCAGGATAAACAGTGACTGTGAGGAGGAGAAGGGCCTGCCTTAGATGGATGGGTTTCTCTGAGGTGGTAACATAGGCCGAGCCAACCTTGCTAAAATCTGGGGAAAGAGACACCCTGTCAGGGGGAACAGCTAGTGAATGGATTCGCTGTGTTTGAAGAAGGCCAGCTTGCCCCCGAGTAAAGAGAGTGACGGGGAAACAGTAGGAGTTGAGGCTGGGAAGTCAGCGGGGCCAGATCATATATAACCCTGAGTTCATTAGCTCCTATTTTATTCTAATTGTATTGGGAAGGCCCTGGAAGGTGCTAAGCAGGGGATTGATATGATCTGGTTTATTGTTTGAGATACTCCGGCTGCTGTGAGGAAATTGGCCTGTGGGAGACAGAATCAGAGCAGGGGAGACTCACTGGGAGTGTTTTGCAGTCTCCAGGGAAGAGAGCAGGATGGTTTAGTAAGATGGCAGCAGTGATCGGGTGAGAAGTAGAGCTGGATTTGGGATCTGTTCTGCAGGTGGAGCAAACAGGAGCACTAACAGGTCGGTAGGGAAGACACCTGCCGGTGACTCCGGGCCTTGAGGGGTAGACCCTGGAGGTGGGGGCTTCAAAGGGAGAGCATCGTCAGGAGTGCACTGCAGGCACGGAGGGCTTTGGAAGCGTGGACAACAGCAGGATGGCTGGTGGTGGCGTGGAGATCCAGGGCAGGGCCAGCAGGAGTGAAGTGGTGCGAGGATTCCAGGGAGAGGTGACAGCAGGGACGGGGAGGAGAAACATTCCATCTCAAGTGGCTGTTTGAGAGCTGACTGGTGAGGGTGGTATTAGTGGAGAAAAGGAATACAGAAAAGGAGAGCAGATTGCCTGTAAGAATCAGGACGTTTTTCTTTCTTTCTTTTTTTAAAATATATTTTATTGATTATGCCCTTACAGCTGTTCTATTTCCCCCCTTCATTCCCCTCCACCCTGCATACCCCTTCCCCCACCATTCCCCCCCTTTAGTTTATGACCACGTGTCTCAAGTTCTTTAGATTCTATATTTCCCATACTACTCTTGCCCTCCCCCCTATCTATTTTCTATCTACTGTCTATGCTACTTATTTTCTGTACCTTTAAGTTTGTAAAATAGTTTACGCACATAGTTTAAAAAACAAAGTGCTGGAAGTTTTCTGATGGAAACCGTTTGCCTTCCTCACAGCGTGCTCCCCGGGGCGGGGGCGGGGGGCGTGTTTGCTGGTATTATTTCCTTGATCATTTCCTCTCACAATTATTCTCTGTTCTCTTTTTCTGGAATTCATCTAGGCAATTATTTGTCTTGAACCAATTCTCTAATTATTTTTTTAAATGGGTTCTTTCTTCCAATCTGACTTCCTTTTTTACTGCCTGTGAAATCTCTTTGTTATTTTCTAATTCTTGAATAATTTTTATGGCTACTTTATTTTAAATTTCAAGTTCCCTTTTAATGTTTTTTTCCTTTTTCATACCATCCTATACTTATTTTATTGGATGGAATATCTTATCTCTAAGGACATTAGTTACAGTTTTTTTCTTCTTTCTTAATTGGCTCTGTTTCCTTGGGTGGCTTTTTTCTCTTGGTTTTCTCTTTTTCGCTGTTCAAATGTTTGCTAATCTCAGTCTGACATTTGTTCATAATAAGCATTCCCGACTGTCCGTACTTAAGAATAGAGCGTTAAAAAGCTGAATGGAAGCTATGTGGGTACAGGTAGGGCTTGCTGATGATGCATAGATTTTGTTGAGGGGACCTTCACATGCCTGACTATTCAGTTGCTTAGAAGCAAATCTAATCTTCCTTGAAAATATAAGCCAGCTGCCAGTTTTCCCAAGTCTGGGAAGGTGGCTCTGTGTGTCAGAGTTCATTCTGTAAACTGCCGCTTCACCTGTGTTTCAGTCCACCCAGAGCATAATCTCTGTTCTCCTTGGCACCTGGGTCTCCATATGCTGAGTCCTTCCAGGGTTCTGTAGGCTGAGGCTGAATCAGTTCTTTTCTTTTTTTTCCCCCGGTACCTAATTTAGCATTTAGAAACTTTTGAATGGTAAAAGAGAAAAGGGTAAAAAGGCACATGAGGAAACAGCCAGTGAAAAAAGGGAGGAAAATTGCAACTTACATTCTTAGCCATGAGAAGAAATGACTACCTACATACTGTCCTAACCCCGGTACTCTCCTGACTCAGCTAGTTCACCTGCGTCCAGATTGCACCTTCCAAAAGTGTGTGGAGCTCTTTAGTTAGCTGTTGCATTCTCTTCTGTTCCTTTTGTCCTTGAGGATTTGTGCTCCCCCCCCCCTTAAATTCTTTTACCATTATTTAGCAGAGATTGGGGAGGGAAAGGAGATCATTGTATATGATCAACCTGTTAATGTTTAATTGGAAAGTCTAGGTTTGGTTGTTAACGTGTGGACACACAGGTGCTGCTGGAGGGGAGGTTTGTTGCCCCAGTGAGACCTTTAGGTCAGGGATAGATGTTGAACTCTAAGGTTGGGTGTAGATATTTAGCCATTCAGTTTAACATAATTATTGAGGCTATGGAGATGGATAACACTTTGCTAGGAGAGTCTGAGGCACGCCAGTGTTTGGTTCAATGCCTGTATATGGAATGACTCCTGTAAGAAGATGCACTAGGCTGGAATGTAGGGAAAGAACATAAAGATCAGGCAGGGAGAAAGGCCATTGGAAGAGCAATGAGAAAGGTGGGGAGAGGGAAGTTTTGAGGAAGGGAGAGTGGCTTATTTTTTGTAATATCACACACTACACGAGCATGCAGCGGGAATGAGTGAAGCCTTCCTTTTGATTGTTCCACTGGTGCTGAATGAATTTCTGGCGCTTGTTAGATTCTGGGCGTACAGCGGTCAGCAAGACGGATCTAAACCTGAACCTGACTGAGTTCACATTCTAGTGGAGGTGACAGTTACACCAGTTCTTAGCTCACGGTACAAGCTCTCGGGGCATAGTAGGAGGAAACCAGGTTTTGCTTCGGTCAGGAAAAGCTTCCCGGAGGAAGTGATTAAACTGAGACTAGTTTTGAGCCACACAAATAAATAAACTTTAGTACAGGGTCCGGCAGAAGTCAGGCTTGCTTGAGTGTGGTTGGTAGGGTATGTGAGTGTCCCGCACGAGATGGACAGCGATTTGCATATTTCACCTAAAGTGTCTTATGGTGTGCTTGAGTGTGATACTGTTATGTTACAGAGTTGCATGCTTATGATTGTATAATACAAGATTTTTAATGTAATAAAAGAGGGGCGTTATTTGTGCCGTGCCCTGGATTTGATAATTTTGGAGGCTGGAAAGTAATGAATGGTCTTAGCACAATGATGATTCCACCTGTAACTTTCTTTTACGGGCCAAGGATAGGGGATGTGACATCTTTTGAATGTCAAAGGCATTTTCAGACAGCTTGTGTGCATGACACGACTGCAAAGTTACAAGGGCAATTTCTAAAATCCTAAGTCATTTCTAAGGAAATGTTTAGGAAAACGTTTAGAATTCCATGGGAAAGAAAACCTTGAAGTAATACAGATGGGGCTATTTACTTAATAAATAAATTGTTGGTGATCTCATCAGCAACTCAGAGGTTGTACTTTCACAAATTTGCTTATTATAATACCCATGGCTCAGGTGGATAGCAAAGTACAGAGCAGTTTATGCTGCACTAACAAATTACACTTCATGACTTAAAACTAATTTTTCTCTATTCAAAAAAGAAAACACAGCAAATAATAGCCAAGTGTTTATCATGCCCATCACTATTCTGAATTAAAGTCCTGTGTTGCCTTGAGAAAAAATAAAGCACATGAAGTTATTACCGTACAGTGACTGTTTACCTACTACTGTTGATAATGGCGGACTGCCTGAGGGAGGAGGGGCAGTGGTCCCTCAAATTCCCTCTTACAGTTGGAAGTGGGTTGGACACTGGGGAAGGGAAAATCTTCAGTTACCTGTCAGTAGGGAGAAAGCCGCACCTTATGTGCAGGAGGCAGATGGGAAGAAACACGGCCCCTCCCCCCGCCCCCAGAAACCACAGGGCCGTCTTTCCCTTTCTCATTCCTTCATGTGCTCTCAGCTGTGATAGAACCAGCTCAGGAACTTGGCAAAAAAGAGGGGAGCTTCTACTTTCCCACCAGCTTCATAGTCCTGGGAACCACCTGAGGGCCAGAGGCAAATGGAACGATCTTTGTTTCTCTTTGGTGGTGCGGGAGCTGAATGTTTCCGTAGTTTGAGTAAATTCACCAAAACAACCATCCATCACCTACCTGTCTGCAACCCCCACTCCCTCAGCCGAGGGCTGTCCTCTGGGTACAGGCTGAAATGCAAAGTGTCCCGCAGGTGACTCGAGAAGGTGAATCTTAAAAGGTGTCTCTCCCCCCAACACGGGAAATTCTCACCAACTTCTTTAGCTGTCCAATGAAGGCGTGACGCTAGAGCATCTCAGAGGCCCCTTTCTGCTCTAATTTTGTTTTATTCTGAGTGGCTCACCTTTGTGTTTTTAGAATGTGGGCTTAGGTCACTGCTTATCTCTTGTAAGGACTGTGGGGACACACCATTTCCCTCTCAGCCTGTGACATAAAGGCAGCTGACTTCAGGAAGGCTTCCTGGCTCAGGGGAGCAGTGGAGACTCGCCTGAGTTTGAATATGTGCTCTGCTACCTTCTCTGTGGGAAGGAGACAAGTCTGCCCTCTCTAAGCCTCAGAGACAACTATGTGCAATACAGTACTCCGGATGGAATCCTAGGATAGAAATCTGAACAAAATCGATGATTTAGATAACAGTATGGTACCTATGTCAGTTTCTTAGTTTTGATAA